CGAGCAAGATTCAGTACAAACCCAAGTATTCCAACTCCCATGGAGTTTGGCTCTCGTCGACAGCAAACTAAACAATTAGCACGCCAACACCATCCCCCCAAACCATACATGAAAACAAGAGCAGCTGAGGTTTAAAAGGGCATTACGGATTCCGGCGCTCCCGGCCGAGGATGGCGGCGTGGCGGAGTTCCCCTCGAGCGCGGTGGCACCGCCGAAGAGGATCAGCCGCGGCCCCACGTACCCCGGCGCGCCCTCCTCCCCGACGGCCGGCACCGCGGTGAGCGTGTGGCCGCACCGGCACCCGGGCCCGTCCTCCTTCTTCTCCATCGCCGCGTTCACCACCGTGTACCCCGGCGCGGGCCTCGGGCCCGCCACCACCGCCGCCGACGCGGCGGCAGCGATAGCAGCAGCAGCGATAGGAGCAGCTCCCCCTCCTGCCCCCATAGCCGTCGGCGTCCCGGGCGCCGAGGGCGACGCCGAGGAGGTCTCGCTCCCGAACCCTCCTCCTCCTCCCCCCTGCGCCGCGGCGTCCGAGTCGGAGTCCGACTCCGTCGTCATCCTCGAGTCCACGTCCATCCCCCCCGCCCACTCCCTCCCTCCCCACTAGGGTTTCCAACCGCTCGAGATCTTCCTCCCCACCACGCAACACACACACAGAGAAGAAGCGAGAGAGCAAAAAAATCTCTTAGCTCCGCCTACTCCTCCCAACTCCTTGCCACTTGCGGCGAGGCCGCTGCCATCCCTCCTCCCCCCACCGAAACCCTAGGTAGAACACGCCACACCACCGGTCGTCGCCGCTTACGCCGCCGCAGCCGCCGCCGGCGAAGTGAGGGGGGGGATGGGATCGATCGAGGAGGCCCCTGGGAGATTTGGGATTTGGGGGGGAGCACGAGCTTGTCGCGGAGTGGTGGTGGCGAGAGTGGAAATAGGGGAGAGGTCAGGGACTGGACTGCGAAATGGTCGGGGACAGCGAGAAGGAGGAGGGACGCGTCGTCAGCGCTCAGCCAGCGCGTGTGGGAATTTTTGTAATTTTATTCGCTCACTTCGCACTGTCGCATGGGGCGCACACACACGCACCCAACTGACACACACAAGTTGGGGGCTTCGTTTGGTGGGAGTTTTCGTGTAGCCCCTTTGGGTTTAACCTTATTGCGTTTCGTCTTCGTCTCTTTTTTTTTCCTTTCTTTTGGATTTTATGAAGGCTTTCTCAACGAGGGAGTGGGTACTAGCGATAGTGACGATATGTTTGGGTTTTCCTTTTTTTACTTTTTGGACCATTTTAATTTTAAATTTACAATTAAATCATCCTAAAACTTATTTTCATGCCAATAAGATTGACGTGGCAGCATTATTTCGCCATGCCACTCTGGTCGCCCTGCCATCCATACTAGCGTGGCAAAATAAAATTGTCACACCAAACACAAGTGACGTGACAATGTTGTTTCGTCATGTCGGGCGGGGTGGTGCGACCCCCAAAGGTTCATATTTAGAAATAAAAATTGCAATGACCTATTTTTAAAATTAAAAAGTTCAAGAAAATAATATATATATATATATATATATATATGTTTGGATGTTTTGGATGAACATAATGCCTTCTTTTTAAAAAAAAACGAGTAAATTGCACTTTCGTCCACCTTTTATTACCTAAATTTCAATTTGTACCACCCTTAAACCTATATTTTCAATTTGGACCGGGTAAATTTACCATTGTTGTGGTTTGGATTACTATGAACAACTTTTCTCGTCATGTCTAACTTCTCTTTCGGCAAACATATGAACTACGCATAGAAGAGTTCAGCCATATACTAGAGCTAATGTGTTTAAGGTCGTTGATTGTACTTAAAAAAATAATCATTCGTGGTGGTCCAAATCGCAACAATGGCAAATTTATCCGGTCCAAAGTGAAAAGATATGTTTAAGGGTGGTCCAAAGTGAAACTTAGATAATAAAATGTGGTCCAAAGCGTAATTCACTCTAAAAAAATGATGATCATGCTGCTAATAAAAATTTGTTTTGAAATTCTTTTGTATTTTCAATACATATTTGCATATTTTGTTCGAGTATTATAGGTTTTATAGTCGTTGTATGGATCGAATTGGCTGGACACTGCATATTTTAACCGGTTTTCATTGTGTTCTAGAACTACGCGAGGGAATGTGAGTCTATGCTTCGAATCTTTTGGTCGAATCATTGAGTTGTTACAATATGTGTTATATACTTGGGTTGATGCCAGAGTACATTGATTTTGGTTTTCACTCTCTTTTAACTAAGCTTAAGAAGTGGGTTTGATGATAGGCACCTCAAGAGCAAGTACTATGGTCCACCACACATCAAGGCCATGTTTAAAATGTGGGAAGACAGAACGGTAAAATCAGTTGATTGAAAAACATAATGATTATAGATAAACAGGCGTTTGGAACATATAACTTATAATAGTTGCAGTAGCACTTAATCTCTCTCTAACAACACCTTATCCGCTATAAAGCGAGAGATAAGGGGATGGTTTCGCAGACACTTTTATCATGATGTTATATATTTAAATTCCAATTTTAGCCCTACACAAATTCTACTTCACATACAATCGGATGTAGTATAATAAAATCAGATCCATTAGATCTAAAGAAATAGACGGCTCCCAATCATTAGAGGGGTACCTTCAAAATATCATTTGTAAAAGGTTGGTGCCGCGGCGTCGAAAGGGTTTGAGGCTCATTATGAGGATGTAAGGATGGAATTGGAGATATATGAGTGTTACCGGGATCAGTTTGAGATCTCATTTACTCGTAGCTTTTGCTTTTTTTCAGATTGAGATATAGCATTAGTGTATGATTAATTAAGTGCGACTAATTGTTAAACTTGAAAAATGAGTTCATTTATTTTTTAAAGAATATTTTGTATAAAAGGTTTTTTTTTAAAAAGAACCGTTAGCCGTTTGAGAAGCACGCTCAAGATAGTGAGTTGGAGTTTATAACCCACCCAATCTTAAAATGCACTTGGAAGACATAGTTGATCAGGCTTGAGTTATATGTTGATCGAATGGCAGTGGATAGAAGCGATGACGTCGTTGGCAGATCCAAGGGCGCTGATCGATGGGAGCCACAAAAGTACCAACGCTTTATTCTAGTATCACAACACCTGGTAAAAGTGTACCTATGTATATGCATGTAGTTTAAATAGTTACATAAAAAAATTATAAAATTTGATAAGATAGACTATGATAATATAAGACACTATATAAACATATAAGTCTAAAATCGATCTACACATGAAGAAACAAAAATAATAAAATTTATCTCTACTGTATGGGTACTTTTTGCTATCTGATTTTATTATTTTTGTTTCTCTAGTTATAGATCAAATATAGTCTTGCATGTTTGTGTATAGACGATTGATGTTACTAATTTTTTTTAAAAAAAATAACTATTTGAGTCGCATACAAATAATAGTTGACATAGCACTTAGGTGTAGAAAATCATTGTCCACGACATATGTTTAAGTTACATTGTCATCCTGTATAAAAGCTCGTCGGGGAGGTGATGCGGCATCACCGTTGTCCCCGTTTTCTTCGTGCACGAAGCACGCCGATCGATGTGACTTAAGCGGATGATGATTGTTTCATTCCTTTTAGGCTGTGTGTTAGTTCGTGTGCTAAAAATTTTTTAAGTATACAGACACACATTTGAAGTATTAAACATAGACTAATAACAAAACAAATTATAGATTCTGCCTGTAAACTACGAGACGAATCTATTAAGCCTAATTAATCCATCGTTAGCAAATATTTACTGTAGTCTCACATTATCAAATCATAGTGTAATTGAGCTCAAAAGATTCGTCTTGCGATTTACATACAAACTGTGCAATTGGTTTTTTTTCGTCCACATTTAATGCTCCATGCATGTGTCCAAACATTTGATGTGACGGGAAAGTCGAAAGTTTAAAGAAAAAAGTTTGAATCTAAACACGGACTTAGATGATGGCCCAAGTAAGCCGTCAGAGTGACTACGGAGTCCAGCCCTCCCCTGCTCTCCAGGATTTATGATTCTGCCACTTTCCTTCTACATGCTCCCTCTATTAAAAAAAAACTCAACCTAATCTCTCATAGGACAGTGAATTTGGACAAGCCTGACCTCTCTTAGGCTAAGTTTTTTTAGACAGAGGGAGTAATCCTGTATATGCCACGGGCGCTCACCACTATAGATGGCCATAAGGCCCACCCAGCACGGCCTGGCCTGGCCCAGGCACAGGCACAGGCTAGGCACTTCGGGCCATGCCATGCCTGTCCATGGGCTGCACCTCAGCCCTCGAGGCACGGGAAACCCATCGTGTCTTTTTTTGAAATAAGTATATTTCCCTCCTTCCTCTTTGAGTAGTGCTATATAATACGTCTATTTTTTCTCCCTATTTTTATGTCATGCCTGACATATGGTTGAAAATAAGTTTGTTTCGTATTTCTAAAATTCGTGCCGGCCTAGCGTGCCGAGGTAGCAGCTCATAGACAACACGACTGTTGGGCCAGGCCAACTCACCGAGCCTTGAGTCGGGCCGTTGGGCCTGGTACCATATGACCATCTATGATCATCGCGACAGACGACAACGAGATGATCGAGGAGAGGCCGGCGTACCGCGTACGTGCCGTGGTACGTATTACTGTAGCCACCGCCTCTCCAGGTTAGCGGCCGCAGGCCGCAGCAACGACCGAAGTTGATGCACTGCACGCTGCGCCATGGCGCGCCCAGCCAGGTAGCCCGCAGCCCAGCACACAACACGCACGCGGTCATGTACTAACCCCCATCCATCCGTACACCGGACCGGACCATACGCAACGCAACGCACGCAGCACACACGGATCGATCGGCTCATACAAACGTAGGAATTTTTTTTTTTTTCAAATTGTTCCATCCCCTTCCTCTCTCCCCTCGCCACGCGCACGCCGCCCCGGCGCCCCGCCCCGCCTATATAATTCTTCCCACGGCCACACACACACGCGCACGCAACCCGCCACCACCACCACCACCACCTCTCCTCCTTCTCGCCTCGCCTCGCCTCGCCGCCGGTAGAGCCATGGATTCGGCGGCCAGGCTCCTACTCCTTCTTCCGCTCCTCCTCCTCCGCATCTCCCTCGCCGCTGCTTCCCCCAACGCTCCGCTCGCTGTTGCTCTGGTTGAGGTTCGCTCGGCGGCGGCGTTCGACCGCGCGCGGCCACCGACGCCATGCACCGCGCCATCCTCGCCGGGAAGGATCACCACTGCGCCAAGTCGCGGCAGGTTGGCGGGGAGCGCGGCGGGAACGGGGAGCGCGGCGACGGCTGGTAGTGGCGGCGACGCTGAGGCCGCCAACGCGACGCGGACTACATCGGACGCGGCGACGGGGAGCGACAAGGCCGCGAGGAACAACCCGACGACGACGACGACGACGACGGCCGCGACGACGACGACGACGACGGGTGGCGACGACGCTGCGGCACCTGCGCCTCCTCCTTCCCCGGGCAAGGCGTTCTCGACCACCAGTGACACCACGAGTGCGAGCGCGACCGGTACCGCAGCCTCCGCATCGGTGGGAGCAGGGAGCGTCGCCCACGAGTCCTCAAGCCGCTGCGCCACGTTCGCCGAGCAGCGCGCGCCCACGACGAACAAACCTACGAGCCGAGCGCCATCGGCAGCTGTCCGCGACGACGGCTACGCTACACCAGCCACCGCGCCCGTGGGAGCTGTCCACGACGCCGGCGACGCCACACCAGCCGCCGCGCCCGTGGGGACCGCCATGAATACGGCACAGAGAGGTGAGTCCCCGCTTCTACTTGTCTCCTCCTCGCCGTGGTGAGCGATTGGTTTTATTTTCTACGTTAATAATCAATCTGGACGTATTTGATTTTTAATTGCCAACTGTGTTCAGTTTTAATTCATTCCCGCATCTAACTTTGTAGTAGCACGATTTGTTCTTATGCTGTAGTGCAGATTAGTATGAGTACGTTAGAAATAGTATCAGTGTCTGAATGTGAATCTTGTGTGGGCGATGACGGTGCAGTGTTCTTAATTTGTCTGAAAAAAACTGGTGGATGCGGCATTGATTGATGCTACCAATTGGTGTTTAAGTTGTTCATTCTGGCATCAACTTAGTAGCTAGTTAGTAGTGCAATTTGTCTCACACGCTGCAATGCAGATTCAGTTTAATTAGCACTGTCAAGATATATAGAAAAACGGTGTCAATACTGTACTGTACACCCCTTGCCTGCTTATATCGATGAATCGATCAATGGGTTGCTGGGTCAAAGTTAAAACTGCAACAACACACACAGTGCATTTGATTGGATATATAGGAACTTGTTTGCATGAACTGGTTTACAAATGCAATGTTTGATGTGGGAGTATTCTAGCTAGTATACGTGTTGTTTTCACTGGTGTACTGCTACTAGTCAATTTGATGAAGTGATCGATGCAGGTGCGAATACTTCGCTGGGAGTGATTCGGGAAGCTCCAACTATGATGTTGATATTCGCTGCTGCTCTACTCACATTGGTTGTTATCAGAGGTAATTAAAGAAAACAAACGACGACGTCGTTAATTGAACTTGCTGTTATACTGTAGTACAAAATAAGCAGTGATCAAAGGGTTAAACTGAGGATTTCGCCATTCTCATTCAGGTGGCAGGAGGATGGGGGCAGGAGGTCAGAATCAGCGGGGTGATGAGGAGGAAGATCAGACTAAGTGTCTTGTCTGCAAATTCGAGGATCCCGTGTTCCGCCTCGCCTGCTGCAACAAGGTCCTCTGCAACCTCTGTCTCAGGGATTTTGTCAGGACAATGCATGGTGAGTGCACCCGCGGCCTCAGCGCCGGCTGCATCCTCTCCCTGCGGCCCCCGGAGAGCTTGCCGGTGGGTGTTGATCTCAATCGGGCTACTCCCTATCAGCATGTTCCCGAGTTCCCTCCCTGGTATTTCTCGTCGGCGGTGAAGAAGAATAGCAGGGTACATCTGTTCTACTACAACGTCAAGGAGCTGGAGGAAGGCAGAGAGCCTACGGTCACGGAGGTCATCCATGTCTTGTACCCTCCTCCCGCCCCCATGTCACCGCCGATCGTCACGGTCTCTGCTACCAAGAGACCATTCTGGGAGCTCTAGGCAGTACATGCGTACGAGAGTAGCATAGCAGCCATCCCATGCTCAGACTTCTGGCTTTGCCCCTACATTAGCACTACACTCACTTGTGAAGTTGTGAATTTGCCAAGTCACCTCTCTCCATGATTGATTCACAAATGATAAACCCATCAGCATGATATTGTCTGGGATTATTACTTTTGATATGTTTTGATCAGCGGATGAACAAAACAAGATCGTTTGCTTCAGAAAAAGTTAGTCCCAGATTTCCTTTTTTTTCCCCCTTTTGATATGTGTTTTCAACCACAATGTGTGGTTAGAACGCGCGTATACAATGATTTTCAACCAAATCGCCCTAAATGATGAGCAAGTTGTCATAAACCAAACAGTAAATTGCATTGATGACGCAATCTAGTGCATATATTTATAAAACGTTCGTTTTGGTGCACAAACTTATCTAGCGCGTGTGAACCAAGGTCAAAAGAATACCCTATAGCTAATCTTGTTGATTTAGGTGTTGATTAGGATAATACGTAAACATATCTCCCATAATGTTGCTATTTAGATACACATCTCCTTCAATAAAAGAATAGAATAGAATGACGCATAATGATTGTAGAGATAAAATAAAATAAAAAACTGAGCAACGATACCAGTTAGAAAGATACCAAATTCATCGTTTCAACGACGAAAGATATAAATACAGCTTGTGTTATGCATACTTTTACTAACATCAACTTATTACTACACCTATGCGTCCTAGTAAACATCAACTTAGTAAATTAACCTTTGCTAAGCCATTTTACATCTAGTTTGTATGAACTAGTCAACTAGATAAGTTATGTACCAAAACAAGTGTTTTACAAGGGCATGTACTAAATTATAGTAACATAATAAATTTGTGTACCACCAATACAATTCATTGTCATTCGTTTCTTCTAATATATCTTTTTTTAAGATAATGGAAGCTTTATTAACACACAGTGAAATACACCAAGATGATACATTTCAACTGAGTCCACCCCCGATCTCTGTATAAAATACACACAGCCAAAAAAACATGACCTAAGAAGACTTCCCCATCACAGAACACAGAAAATAGTGGCTATCAATCTGTAGACTAGATCACCACGCATGCTCCTGGGTAAAAAACTCCCGTGCCACATGGTCCAAACGTTGTGATACCACTACAATAGTATCCCGAAGTCCCGGTTTGTGGAGGATAGCCCTAGCAAATCTTCCACCGTCGTAGTTTCAAAAAGAATATTCCTAGAATATTTATCACACAGAAAATTTTATTTGCCATCTAAGTGGACATACACTTGCTTTATATGTAAACTAAAAAGTCATATTTTTTTTTATAAAAAAGGTTGTTAAGATAGATTATGATACACTCCACAACATGTAAGTTCAAAATTAACCTACACACATAGAAGCAAAAATAACAAATAAGACAATTAAAAATGTGTTGAGGTTCATTATTTTTGTTTCTATCAATATATGACGAATTTAACTTACTAAAGTGAAATATCACAAGTTGATCTATCTTACCAGTTCGTTTTTCAACTTTTTTTCTTGACTTTTTAGTCGGTATGCATAAATTGAATGTATATCCACTTGGATGACGAACAATCACTTCCTTATCACACAACTGATAAAATAGTGCCAATTGAAAGAGTATAGAAAAAATATTTTTCAAATTTCCCTTACATTTGAAATTGGGTTAATTGGATCCATGCCACTACAACTTTGACAAATTAAAAAAATGCCACTGAAAAATTCTAAAATTGGAACCATGCCACTCCCGTCGCTTTTTTCGTCCTCCTCTCTCACGCCGTCCTCATCCTGTCGTCGCCACCGTACCACGTCTTCTTCGCCCCCAACGCCACCGTACCACGTCGGCCTCGCCTTCTCCCCGCCAGCGAGGGTCACCGCCGCCGCTGCTCCTCCCCGTCCTCTCCCCGCACGGACTGTGCCGCCGCTGCTACTCCCGCTCCGGAGAGCAACCAACCGGCGAGCAGCGTCACGGGGATCCCCGTCTCCTCCTCTAGATCCGACGCCGCTGGCACCGCCGCCGCTCCTCCCCATGCTCTTGTCATCGTCGTCGTCCGCCACGGCCATCTCCGGTGAGCACCTCGGGATCCCTGTCTCCTCCTCCAGATCCGGCGCTACCGGCATTGCCGATGAGGGCCGCTGCCGCTGCTCCTCTCCCATGCTCTTGTTGTTGTCGCCCGCTGCTCCTCTGCCGCGGCACCTCATGCTAGCGCTTTCCCTCACATCCTCCCTCGCCGTTCGGCCTGACAACGGCGACCTCAGGGTCTGCGACGCATGCGGCGACAACGTGTGTGGGCTCGTCTACCACTGCTTCGACCATCGGTGCTGACGCTGCCGCCGCCTCTTGCTTCATGGGAGGGGGATAAGAACGCTGTTTCACTGGGAGGAGGATGAAGCCGCCACCGCTTGCTTCACTGGGAGGTGGACGAGGACACCGTGAGAGGAGGATAGGATGAGGACGGAAAAAGTGACAGGAGTGGCATGGTTCCAACTTTAGAATTTTTTAGTGACATAGAGCCGATATGACGAATATTAGTGGCATTTTTTTAATTTGTCAAAGTTGCAGTGGCATGGATCCAATTAACCCTTTGAAATTTGTCTTGGGTCAATATGGGATTATACACTATATATACACACACACACAAGTGAACTCTCACAGTGAAATTTATCTTAACTAAACTATATAACAATAAAAATGTTAAAATAGACTTCACCCGTTACAACGCACGGGTATTTTTTCAGTCACTGCATAATCACCATATCCTACATTTCCGATCGTACGGACGAACCAAGCTATCCTCGCAGACGGCGGCGTTAATGAACTCGTCGTCGTCACCGGAACACGAGCACACCGTCTCCAGCGTCGTGCTCCGCGCGTCGTAGTACCCCAACGCCTTGCCGGCGTCGAGCAAGACGCGGCCGTCCCTGCCGTCGACGGCCATGGGCACCACCAGCTCCGCCGCCCTGGGCGAGAACGCCGGCCACCGCGCGAGGTCTATCACGTGCAGGGTCTCCCACTCGCCCTCATCTCCCGCGCTCTTCGCCCATATGCTCATCGTCTCCGTCTCGCGGCACGAGTGCGCCACGCAGAGCTTCCCGGCGAGCGTCGCCAGGACGGCGCCGCCGGCGTCCGGCAGCGCCGGCGGCGCCGGCATGGTGTCGAACGCCATTGTGGAGACGTCGAACACCAGGATGCCGAGGCGCCTCTGCTCCCCCATCCAGTGCATCTTGCCGGCGACGTGCACCGGCGGGACGCCGACGTCGGGAGGGATCGGCGGCCGCGACTCCGTGAGCTTGTACGGCCCAATGTCTCTCAGGCGCCACACCTGCACGGCGGCGCAATCCTCGCCGCCGGCGTAGGCGAGGCGGACGAGCACGTGCTCCTCCCTCGACGCGTCGTACCCCAGCCCGGCGCACCCGCGGCCGTCGTCCACCTCCGGTATCTTGGGAGGACACCGGCGAGGCGTCAGGAAGGAGAAGTTTCTGCCGGCGCCGGTGACCGGGTTGTGCACAATGTTCCTTTCGCCATTGACGTCCGTGACGAGGACGAGGCCATGGCATGCGTTGCGGACAACAGTTCTTGTACTCATCAATGGCGGCTTGCGGTTGGAGCACGACTCGAGAGGGACGAACACCAGAGAGTAGTAGTAGTACGAGCCGAGGCTGACATGGCAGCCGGCCGCGAAGCTCGCCATGGCCGTCTCCCTGGCGTGCGCGTTGTGCGACGCGGCGAAGCGGTCGGTCTCGATCATGGCGCGCCAGCTGCGGCAGACGAGCTTGAGCCGCCCGAGCTCGCGCGCCGGCAGCCGGCGCAGCACCAGCGCCACCGCCCGCGCGGCCGGCGGCGAGAAGAGGATGTCCTCGTACGGCCGCCCCGCCGACACGAGGCTCTCCTCGTACGGCACGAGCTGCGGTGTGCCGTCGCCGTGGCGCCGCCGGAGCTCCGGCGGCCCGGCGTGCCTTCGGAGTGTCCCGGAGGCGGCGTCGTACTCCGCCACCTCATGCTCCTCGGAGAGGAGGAGAACGCGGCGGTGGTCGTCGGTGAGGACGAGCGGTGTAACTTCTCTGTTCACCAAGAAGAAGTCGTTCGTCTCCGGCGACGTCGCGGACGTGGGATCGATGCGGCAGCGCAGCTCCCACGTCGCCGTCGAGTAGTCGGTGAGTAACCAGATGTCTAGAGATCTCTCCGACGAGAGGTACGCCGGGTAGACGCACAGGCATCCGGCGAGCTCGGTGATCATGAAGCCTTTCATGTCCGTCGTCCCCGGCGGCGGCGGGACGCGCCCGAACACCTCCGCCGCCATGGAAAACGACATGATGGCGTCAGCGTCGCCGACGCTTTTCGTCGTGATCCAGTGCAGGTGGCCTTGCGCGTAGACGGCGAGCTTGTTCATGTGGACGAGGTCCGGTGGCTTCGCCCCCGTCGCCGCCGGCCTCCAGTGTCCCGTCGAGGTTGCGGCGGCGATGTCGTAGACGTGACAGGCGGCGGGGTGGCCGTGGTGGTAGAGCAGGCGCACCGCCTTGTGCGTCCGGGTGCGCGCGTCGTAGCCGAGGCCGACGCTGGCGTAGTCCTCGCCGGGGCGCGGGTCGCCGGCCATGCGGCCGTCGGGGAGCGCCGCGACCTCGCCGGCGGACGGGTTGCAGACGAAGTAGAGCCGGGCGAAGATGGCGTGGAGGAGGAGGAGGCCGCGGCACGGGCGGCCGTAGGGGATAATGCGGCCGTTGCGCGTGCCGTGCGGGACGGCCATGAGCGGCGTCGTCGTCTCCGCCTCCGGCGACCACGCGTTGATCGTGTCGGCGGACGCCGATCTCGGCGGGATGCAGAGCTTGGGGCCCCCGCGGCGGTTGGCGAGGAGGAGGTGGTGGTCGACGAAGGCGTCGGTGGAGAGCGCGGCGGCCCAGGCGCGGGAGAGGCAGCGGCAGCGGAGCACCGACCGGGCCGGCATGCGCGCGAAGATGTCCTCGACGAGCTCGTCGGGGATATGGCGCGCCGGCGCCGCCGACGACTCCGGCGATGACGCCATCGTCGTCTTCGGCTGCATGCTGCGTGTAGGCCGCGGCGAGAGTCCGTCCGCGCGCGTATACGTATATATAGGCCGGCAGGCATATGCTCCAATTGTACGTGTCGGACTCGGATCGGAGCACATGCTGACGCTTAATCAATTGCTTTGGCTCTCTTTCTTTATGCTTATAAACCAACTTATCTCTATCTCTAA